TTCTTGTAAGATCAAATTATGGATTCATACGCGAAAAGAAACAGCAACAAATTGGCCTCCTCTGGTTTTTCATTCACGTTGCTGTCATAATAACTTCTTTCTGCATGTTCCTGTACAAATATTATCTTGTGTTACATAACTCGTGAGTTCTTCTCAATAAATTCGTTAATAAAACAAATATATATGGATCGTCTTTAAAACTTGAGGAAGACTGAATGACTGACAAGACGAGTATGTATCACCAAGCACAAGAGGAACAAAAAATTAATTTGAATATTATCATCATTTGTGCTGCAGAAGCAAATACAACAAACTTGCGAGACAAGATGAATATTTTGCAAAACTCGAAGAATTAAATTTTTTTTTAAAAGAATCAACAATCACAATTTAAATCGGAAAACGAGATTCATAAAAGACTTTACGTCTTCACATAAAAAAAAAGTTGCAGTGACTCGGAAGAAAAACAAATATTTGTATTGAACTTGATGAGTAATGTGTGAATCTTTTCTGGTTAGAAATCTGAAATCCCGCGATGATTTTAGAACAAAAATGTAAAGATTTAGATCATCCAGAATTTATTGAGTCAACATGAATATATTTTTGTTTGCATGGGATGAATCAGGTTTGGATGTAGTAGAAAATGAAGAAATAAACGATAAAATTAGATTAAGAAATTTAAAATTCCCTAATATGGACTCAAATTTATCATGTTTTGGGATTTCCCAAAAGCTAGAATGCATCCGAACTAGGCAGACCAACCACGCATTTTTCCCCTCTTGCTTAACATCATCAAATTGACCTTGAATTAAACTTGATTGCGTATTAAACTTAGTCATTCGGAAAATAATTCAAAATAAAAAATATTTCATATTCTTTCCAATAAAATCCAATTCACTCTCACATTAAAAAAAACTTTGATTTCAACCAAAAAATATAATTTTATGCGACCTAGTTTGCATGTCTTACCCATGTAAATTTTTTCAATCGTTCCATTCGAAACAAATGTCAAATTTTCATGATGCCTATCAACAGTTTGTTGCTTTCGTGTTAAGATTTCTGACTAGATCCACATAACAATTAGCAATAATAACCTTTCCGTGATTAATTGCCATTCATTTTAATTCAGCTTTATAAAATTCCATAGACAAGTTTAATTTAACATTTTGAAGCACATGATATGATGAGTAAGATGTCAGCAGACTTATACTTTACCCTTTACATGTTCATCACTTATATTTTGGCGAATAAGAGGAGTGTAAATAGCTTAAGACAATAAATGACGTCTTCAGTTTTTGTTAAGCATAGTTATTTTCTTATTAATAAGCATCTACCTGTCATCTACTATGTGCATATTTAATAAATTTGTATATACAAAATATTTGACACAATATCAGATGTTTTTATAATGATGACAATCATAATGACGATAATGACGCTAGATTAGACGGATGGAAATATGAGAGACGACTGTTTTTTTGAAGCGTTGGCTTAAGCTGCAGTTTCATAACCAAAAACAACTTTATTGCACATTTTTCAGCACTTACATTCCCAAGTGCTAATTGATTTTTATCATCATATCCAACGCGATATTCCACTTGTCAACTTTTTATGTAAATTAAATTAAATCTAAAGACAAAATGCAACTCTGCTGTCAGGTGGTAAACTTGTTGAATCCGATTGATATATGACCAACTTTATCGATTTTTTTTAATGATTTTTCCAAAATATATGAGGCAGTTCATTCCTATACATAAAGAGTTGTTTATTGACCATCCAAAAAAAATCATTTTTATCTGTTCTCAGCATTAAGCTATGCAGAATTTTTTTTTGAGGTTGATTTTATATGCAGACGATTGAATGAATTATTTCCTGGAACTCCTTTTAGAAGAGTTGAGGCAATAATGAAAGACATCTGGGTTCTTATCTAAAATTTGCAATTTTTTATAGCACATTAATCTCTTTGAGATTCCTAAAGAAGTCGTTTTCATGTTGACTTAATAAGTGTGAAATTTGAGAATGCTACTTCTGGATGTTATTTTTTGTCATGATCTAGCTTTAAAACTATTTCAAAGTATTGAAACTGAAAATATGCTATTTATTTTTAATTTCAACAGTTTAATGGATGAGATAAATTTGAAAAGTAATATTTTTTGATATAAAAATGGCTCGTGACTTAATTAGCAAGCAACAGTATTAATGACGAAACTAAGTGTTGAATCAAAAGTCATGGAATGAACTCCACTCTCCACTGAACTCTTCACACATTGAATCTTGAATTTAAAACCGAACGGCAGCTCCTTACCAGAAAATCCTTACGCAGAATAATAAATGACCAATTTTGCCCAATGGCACTAAAAACGAATGCAATCTTAATTGAATTAAAAACTGCTGAAGCAATCAAAACATAAACCTTAACTCATCCAAAAACCCATCAATGTCAATTTTTATTCATCCGATTGGAAAACGATGGCTTTAATTTGATCACAACATTCATGACCATCCTCAACACAAAAAATAATTTTAACATATCTATGTAAAATTTTAATCCGAAATCAAATATTTTTGTTTAAATTAAAGGGCTAAATGTGACTAAATTGCGTCATTAAAACCCTTCACTTTACACCTCAAATTCCTAATTGACACCTCTTTTTTTAATACACAAAAGTACCGATGACAGATTAACAATTTGAATCAAATTATCTAGCTTATTCGTCTTTGTTTCTTAGATGTTAAATGTAACTGTAATTAAGAAACCTTCAAACTTATTAAAAAGCCGATCCTTCTCTATTGTGTCTCGTACCCTTATAAACACGCTATTTTCATCTCAAATTTCAATGATAAATATTTTTATTGTAGGCATATCGAGAGTTTCATAATAAATTGTTTTTTTCATTAAAAATGCAGTTTTTCGAATCAAGGTGTGCAAAAATCACGAATGCAAAAAAAATGTCAAAATTTCAATGATGAATTTTAATATTTTACCATTTCTAATTTTTCTTTTGGATTATCATATTTTCTGTGTACCTTCGATTTCTATAAACAAGACAGCGATGTGTTGTGTCAAAATGTTTAAAGATCGTGACGATTTACTGCATCAGGAAGGTTACAGCTTCTTTCTACTTTCAATGATTTATATATAAGATTTTTTCTGATTATAAAACTGGGTTTACCAGACTAACGTCACGTTAAAAATTGTCAGTTACAGAAGTTTTACCGATTTTTTTTAAATATTTTGAATCTTTTTTAACCGTTGGAAAAAAACTTTATTCAACATAATTCGAAGCTTTTAACTGTTTAGTTCTTTAAAATAAATAATCTTTGACATATTTTTAATGTTTTTGAACTGAAAATGCTTAAGGAAATGCAAGAATTGGTGATTTTAAAAATTTTCAGAACAAAAATATCAAAAGTAAACAAAAGTTGTAAATGTGTTAGTGAATTTTTTCACGAATTATAAATTTGTTAATTAATTGTTAATTGAAGCTCTTTTTTCTAATGTGAACTATTTAATAGTGATGAAACATAATTAAGATTATGTTAATTTAGTTAAATCATTGTTAAAAGAAGCTTAAATCTGCTTAAATCATTGATTTTGATTTTAAATTTTTTGATTTGTTTACATTTTTCCTAACGGTCAATAAAAATTCAAATTTTCGTCTCAAATTTCGAAGTTTTCGACATTAATTTCGAAGACATTTCGAATTTTTTCGAATATAAGGTGGCGTAAGTCTGGGGTTTACTGTCTTTAAAAATGGCCAAAAACTAAATATGACCTAGAAGCTTTTCAGAAAACAAAACAAGGTATCAAAAATGCGAACTATAATTAAATGGTTTTCAGAGCCACAAAAAAGCAACAACATGTGATCAGCTTTAAGCTGTATGCATGGGAGATTAAATTGTCATGGATTCAATGACTTTACTATGAAAAAAATGCAGTTTTTAGTTTCATTCCGATTTTTTAAATAAGAAGTCAAATAAATCCGCACATGCATCTTATTTATGAAGGTAATCGCGATTATAAAGGATTGAAGTAAAACGTTTTGAGTAGTAAAATTGCAACTTACTTATTAATCTGTCTCGAGTTGGATATTCATCGCTTATGAGTTCGTGTCGCATGCAAGGGATGCATAATCCTTTTATGGATTTAACGCTAATTTATCTATTTGCAGAGCTCGAAATCGATGAAATTTTGGATGAAGCCGAGTCAACTCCATCATACAAAATCGATGATAGTCTTAAGTCGACTCCGAGCTCTGTCTATTAACTCCTCTTCAATTTGAGTTTTTGGAATTTACCATATTTTACGGAATAAATATTTTTTCTCTAGTTGGTCAAGCTGAACATGAAGGATCATTAAATGTTCTCAAATTTCAGAAGATTGAGTCATAGTTTATAAATTTAAGTAAGTTTAGATTCAACATCAATTTTACTGAATCTGATAAAAGATTTTATGCATGTCGCCTCATGTCTGCCATAAAACACACATCAATTATCAATTTGACCAAGTTCCTATTACCTCAATAATGCGTAAGTGCTTTGAAACCAATAAAAATTTGTGTAAACCTCAACTTAATAAATTCCTCTTTATTATCATAAAACCCTCGTAATTCACTTGATTGATCAATGGCCTTGTCACTATTAGTCTTCTTAAATCTCAAAAAAGTATCTAACTAAAATACAATGTTGGAGACAATAAAAAAAATTCATCATCTTTTATATATTTGTTTGACATCATTAGAGATATTTTTAATTCTTCTTTTATGAGGATTTTATATCGCATTGATAGAGAGAAACACACAAAATTCCACAAAAATGACAAAATAGACATTGAGTCGTGTTACATTTGATATTTTTAAGGAGAGATTTATTTGCGGTAACATAATCCGCAAAAATTTGAAATTTTAGTAGTAGTGACATCAAGATACACTTTAAAAATTCTATATTTGTCAAAATCGCTCAAAACGATGATTGAATAATTCAGTTAAGGAATATTTACTTACCAGCAGTATCACTTTCAATTTCATTTTGAGTATTTTTTTCTTTTATTCTTCTGCCAGTTTTCTTCCTTTCCTTTTCGTATTTATTTATTATTTTTTTAACTTTTGTTTATGTTAATGACTTCACCACTATAATCTATCAGATATATGAAGATTAAGTCAGATTATAAATATCAAGGTTTTTTAATCTTAAAAAAAATAGATTGAAAATATTTTTTTGCACAAAAGTCTTTGAATGAAGCTAGTTTATTAATGCATAAATCCTTTACATTATCCTCTATTTTGGTGAGTCTCAAAATATCGTTGAATTATGTTTCTTTTTCGTTAAACTTCGAAAATCGTCACATTCAAACTATTACACAAGTGAATTTATTAATCTTTTCGTTTTTATCCAAAAAAGGCTCTGCTTTTCGTTTTGTTACCGAAATCGCTTAAACTCAACTTTTCATGTCTTTACCAAACGAGCGATCTCAAGATACTGACAACAGTTCCACAAAATTTTTTCCAACCTTTTTCTTCTCTTGATTTCAAGATGCTTAAGAGACACACCGCACAATATCTGCAAAAAAAATTATGGTATGAAAGTGATGGTTAGCGGTGCTGACTTGGTTGATGCGCATTTTTTTAATATATTCTAAAGCTGGCGTAACTGTGGCATCGTGCTGAATTCAATTTGTGTACAGCACCATGCCAGAGTTACGTCAGCTTTGTGTCAGTATTCTATTCGATTAAACGACTTGTGCTTTTCGGGTAACAGCATTTTATGTTTCTTTTCAATCTCTAGATACTTCTCAAAGACTAGAGCAACAGAAATCCATCAAATTTTCTAAAAATCAACAAAAAAAGGTTTATCACTGAGAATTTCAAGCTTGATCTAGCATTTATTGTCTACAAATCAACTCGCAAATAAATCACAGACTTAAGAATCTTCATGCTATAACATTTAAGTAAATATATAATGAACAAATAGACAAAACAACACTAAACCACTTCAACTTAGCATAAAGCACATTCCGAAAAAAAGCGATTGTGTGATATGTGGTGGAAAGATGAGTGCGAGTAAGCACACCGCCAGTGGCAGTAAATTGGATGAAAATAAGAGTGAAGAAGAAGTAAAAAATGTATATAAATTCGAATATTTCTCTTATTGCCTATATACTGTATCTTCCGTAGTCCATTCTCTCAATAATAAGATGTGATGGTACGAAAAAGCAGCTTTTTGATCCTTCGTGCAATTTGCAATGACATTGAAGTGGAAATTTGTATGTAAATTTATGGAATGCAATGATATAATTTTATGCTGTGTCAATAAATCTGAGTCAATAACATCAGGCATTTCTACTTCTTTTCGTTGACCTATGAAACTCCTGCGACATGCAAAAAATTATTTCAGTTTTTAATTAGCATTATTATGAGGATAGACACGAGATTTTCAACACGCTGATTATGAAATAAACTAAAGTCGACTTTTGTGTCTATTGTCTGGATATCTTCTTCATCTTTAATCATTTATGGTTAATTAATCTAAAATATCTTTTAATTGTGATAATTTTTCATAAAATATTTATTTTCCTTCGTTTATTTTTGGAACTGAATATTTTCAATGAATATATTCAGGAAAAGAGATAATTTGAATAGATAGGCATGACATCAAGCTGACTGCATTGACTATTGAATTAATTCAATATAATTTAAATTAGGAATTAAAAATATGTTCGTCATAAGAAACAGACATTCATCATGGGAAGCGACAACAGCAGGAGGTACGTATCTGATTAGATGAGATAACATTGTTTTCTATCATGAAAAGAAATCTGACTTAATGATGCGTTTATGCATTAATTATGGTACCAGAATATATGTTACATATTTAACACTGCATTGAATTTCACCCGCCCATTCACAGAAAGCTTAACGACGATGTTCATCTTTGTGTATTTACTTCATAGATATCTCTAATTAACATTTCTATTTTAAAGTTTGGAGGATGTTTAAGCTTAGGTCTGACTGGCTGTAATATCGCTTGCTACACTGATAAAATGGCATAAACAGTGACATAAGGTTCACTTGTAATCACTTGAAGGATTAATACCAGAAAAATCGAAAAAGTCAGAAAAAGACTTCAGTTCTCTTCTTTTATTAAGCTACTCAAGTCGATGATAGTTTTGAAAGCTGCATAAAAATTGAGAACGTACATGGATGAATGTCATTAATGCAATCAAATCCTTTAAATTGATGCAAAATATTCAATTCACTTTAAATTGACATTTACTGGAATCAAAAGAAAATCCGTTTTAATCTGTGCTGCACGAAATTCCAAAAGGTTATCGCAAAAAAATGCGTTTAACGGTGCCACAAGTCGACCATCTCAACAAAAACATTTCTCTGTTCGAGGTGCAAAACTATATTTTTTTTGATAACCATTAATGATAATGCGATGCCTCATCTCATAATTTCCTTTTGTTGGCATGTCTTCTTTTTTCACATTTTGCCAATTCGATTGATTTTAAATATTTGTTATCAGATCCAACCTAATGGATGTATTATCAAATAAACATTTCATTTTATAACATTAAAAACTAGGCAAAAATTGTGTCGATACTTTCCTTTGTGCCGATTGATTATGTTCAAAAAAATTTATTTTTCTCGATTTTTGCTACCCAAGCTAGTGTCTTAAAAAATTTGCAATTCATAGCTTCTGTTTATTAATATTTTATTATGTAATTAATTAGTTATAAAATTTTCTTTTAAAAGTCTTTCTTTGATTTTTATTCACTTTTACAAATCTGTTTTTGATTAAAAGTTTTGAGGATTGTGACTGTCGGCTTATTAAATAGAAAAAGTGTGACTTTATAGATTAAAGTTCATCTCATTTCACATCTTAAAATTCTGTTGCAAAATTTTTAATGTGATGAAAATTTTTTTTATTGCAAGATGATTATGAAGATGAAGATGGTGATGATGTCCTGCTAAATAGCTTTTGTCTAACATCATCGTTGTGTCTTTTGCACACAAACGGCTTTAAGTTATGGTAATTGGGTGATTTGATGAGTCTTTGGTATGACACATGGCTCCATGATTTTTATGATCTAGAGTTTTTTTTTCTTGACCACTCCTTTGGTGATGTTTTCCTTTTTAATTAAGTTTTATGTTTACTGCACGTTTAACTACGGTGGCATAGAAAAATTCTTTAATTTGTCTACTAATTGCTTTAATTTATAAATAATTTGGGAAGCTGATAACAGCACTAGATGGTTTACAGGCAACCCTTAGTTATTCAAATGGATAACTTATTAAGTCAATAATGTAAAAGACTATTATCCTTACTGGAATGTCCAAGGAAATAGGACTAGGGGCCGACGGAGAATTACTTGGCGTACAACTGTTGAACGGGAGGCGGAACAACATAACAAGAAGCTGCAGGAAATAGCAGCTTTGGCCCAGAATCGAGTGCGATTCAAATGCTTTGTGGACGCCCTACGCTTCATAGTGGAGCAATAGGAACCCATCATCATCATTATCCTTACTGGAGAGTCATTAAAAGAATTTGTCGAGTGAATAACAACGTTCGAGTTTTGACACCAACTGCAACAGCTAGAAAAGTTGCAGATGTCATACAAATTATTGAGAATTATTAAATCTCCAAAATTAGCTTCGATCCTAAGTTTCTGTTGATATGAACATGAAAGAAATTAAATGACATGTGAAGTTTAAATTAAGCAAGCGCTTGAATTCAATAAATTTTAGATAATTTCTTTTAAATTATTGATTCCTTGCTTTTTGGTCCTTAGCTTGAGCTTCAATTTCAATCCAGTGATTTATTCACACATTGTTATGTTGAGAATGATTTTCAATAACCTGTTTTGCAGTCACTTGTCGATCACGAGTGTCCGCATTAATCCATAAAAATGCCATGCATTTCCATTATCATTTTCATACCTCATATTAACATTTTATTCGCCAATAAAAATGTTGCTTCTTTGTTTCTGTCATCTCATAAGTGGTAAAATGGATGTTTAATATTCAATGACCCGCAAAATATAGATGAACTATGAATCAGTGACAAGCGCCTGAATATCCATAATATCAATAATAAAATAACATTTTTTTCGCAAATTTATTTAATAATGTCCCAGAAAAAAAATGAATGCACGCTGGTTGAATGCCTCAACGTAATAAAATAGCTGTGCAAAATGGTATAAAGAAATTTTTCAGCTTAAAAAACACAATAAAAATGTCTCGAGACATCATTTATTTAAAATAGAAATTGTAATGACTTGTGTGAGTGTGACTGGCTTTAGGTTTTATAGTTTCATACTTTATTGGGCATTTTGGCAGCTGAATGAATAGTCATGAGATAATATTGCAGTTAAATATCGTAAATTGGTTTTGGATTGTGCCGAAATCGTCACAGTAAATTAATTTTTGCATTCAATAAATGTTTATTGGATTATTCTGTAATTTGATATGATTTAGAAATAATTTTTGGCAGTGCAATTTATTGGTTTTGGTATTACAGCTAAAGTGCAAGGAAAAATATTGCTGATGGGTTTTTCCAATCCTACGCACAACCCTCAACTTGATTACACTTCTATCTTTCATGATTCATTACAAAACATTTCTGCCTTCGCATATTGACAGCGTTTAATAAATAAAGCTTTAAAAGAGAAATAGATTCATCGTTTAGCTCATAATTTTGTACTCATGACTACTGAAGTGATGCAGTCATTTGAGTGATTTAAGTGTATTATTGCAAAACTGATTGAGAGGCAGAGAATGCATTATTTAGGTTACGGGATGCATTCAAATGCACTCAAGTCATGCAAATTAATCAAAAAAGTCTTCAATTCAATGAAGTTTCAAAGCGTACAGTCCATTCAAAGAGCATCAATTCTCTGATTTAAGTGATCAATAAATTAAACCATGATGCAATACAGAAAACTTTGAGACTCTAAAAAAAATTGGTAATAAATTTTGCCAACACTAAACTCCCAAAAATACAATAATCTCCAGAAAAACTGATTAATATAGTTCCAGATTCCTGACATCTTTAGTTTTTACGATCAGCTTCATTTTGATGACCCACGAGCAAGTCAATTCAAAAGCCATAAAGATTTCCAAAAAAGAACTTTCAGTGTATGAGTCAAGAATGAAATCATGATTGTCTAATCCAATATTGTAGCTTATCCAGACAATTACCATTTTTGCGTTTTGTTTGAACTTTATGGCTTTTTTAAGACTTTAAAAGCACTAAAAAATTATTTCATTCTTCCACATCGACCCATAAAAACCTAAATAGATATTTCAAAGATCGTTTTGCACGGATATTAAAATCTAATAATAGTAATAATAAACGGCAGCTAAAAAAGCAGAGATTAATTAAACTGATCGTTAGTTCTATTGTCATTGTGATTTGATGCTTATCGATGACAAGAGAAAAATGTAAATATTGGTCATTAGCTAAAATTCTTTCGACAATCATTAGCGTTAATAATGAAATCATTTCTATACTTTATTGTCAATTTAAGTTAAGGGGTCGTTTCCTATTGATGTAAATGATTTATCAGAACGGGAGTTCATTGTTAAGACAACAATTGGTCAATGATGTAGATATTCCTTTAATATCACATATGGCAGGTGTATAATTATGTAAAACAAGTTAAGTTTGATGGGAATCGAATCCACGACCTCAAAAGAGGCGATGCCTGACCACTCGATTAAAGATCCCTGCCACTTGACCACCGAGATACTTATCTCACTTCGGCTATCCGTCATACACATATAGCCAGTTTCAAAGCGAGCCCTATGCTCAGGCGTATTTTCTACAGATATGCTTTTCGAGCCATATCCACAAATGATTGCTTACGTGAGAACAGTTAATGCGTAGCTGAAAATTTACGAGAAGGATCTAGTTCTTCAGAATCTTTTATTTAAAATAAGACTAGATTTATAAGCATAGGTTGGAATTAAACATCGATTAACATTGCTACATCCAAGAATTAAATCACTAGATCATGATGCTTACGTCTTTGCTTACGTCTTCTAAATGCTTAAACAAAACTAATTTCAGAAAGACATCATTAATGAACAGCTTCTTAGAACACTGTCGTGTTATCTCATGAAGAATTAAATTTATGGTATTTAAAATTTTTTATCCTAAATGGATTTTTATTTTCAAAGAATTTAATTTAATTTATTGATTCTTTCATCATTTTATTATGCAGATATGACGAAAAAAAAACTAAGATATTAAGCACCGATTAAAATGCATTAATGCATAGATTGACAAAAATTTAAATTTTTCTTCATTCCTAAGGTTTATAATCTCTAAAACTAGTAAAAACACACACGAAAAGGTCTTTAATCTTCGACTCATTCTTCTTACCCTTGAATATTTAATCATCAGTTCATTAATTGACACTTAAATGAAATATTAAAATGCAGATGCTTTCAAAAGAAATGAAATCTTTGATCATGAATTTATATCATTCATTGCGATAGATAGCAATCATAATCATCATAATAGTGTCTCGCGTATGAATATTCAAAACATCTAAAAACTTGTTTATGGAGTCATTGATAAAGAAAAAAAATTTCTATCACGTTACTATATTTGTAAGACATTCACCGAAATGCAATATTTCACAAGTTGAATGTATCTCATTTCCATTTGTGATTGTTTTGTTTCGTTGGTTTTCTAAGGAAACTGCTGTATCACTTATAGTTTGTCTGGATGTCTGATTAGTTTACTGATTAAACTTATTCTATGGTTGATAAGTTGAAGCATTTTGATGAATAGAACCAATACTGAATTAACAATCACGTCCACAAGCACTCCTTAACTCATTGTTCCTCTTTTGATAATTAGACTTTATGCATTATCAATCATCCAATCAAAATGACATTACAATGGATTCATAGGAGCCAAACTGCCTGTCAACTTTGTTTATTCTTCCTTCCTTCAATTTTGATGATCTGTTCATCCATATGTCAATAGGTTAGCAAAGCCAATTTTTTTTTTTGTCGGGTTGTTATTAGGTTAATCCACTCATTCAACTCTAAGACATTGACATTATTGTTGAGTTGATTCAAAATCACTAAGAGGAAGCTTATAAAGTTGAGGATAAAATCTACCTGACGCTGTTGTATTTTTGTATTAATTAATTACCAGTAAAATCAATTAAAACTTGATAAAAAAAATCCCGAATTAAAAAAATTTGGACAATGGCGCCATGATTTCATGAAGTCGGTACAACACGGAATTGTGGTGCTGACGTAAAATAACTGAAGGATAAACTACGTGTTTTATTGTTGATTAGGTTTGAAAAATGAGCATAATTTCGGTACTGACTGTTGTGTTGTCTTAAGTTGTTGCTATTTAATAAGGATTTGTCGTTTAATTTTGTTTATTGTTGCTATGGATAGCTATGCTGGGTATGAAATGAAAGAATTTAATAAAAACAGTCAATCATTCTTAAACTACTAGTTTGAAGCATTTATCAATAGAGGAACAAACGAATTTGTTTAAAAATGCGCTCTAAAGCATCAAGCATCCGTAAGATTTTATCAAAACATTTTCATTCATTTCATCTTGTCAGTCATTGAAAGGGAGAATTGAAAAAAATATTATGCGTGTCTTGCGACAATAAACAAAAACATGAAAGAGAAAAAAAAAATATATAAAATGTGATTTGTTGAAAAAAATGTAAAACAAAAATAGAAGCGAGAGATAATAAATATCAATATCAAGTTGAGTTATTTTATTTGGCGTTTCACATCTCTTGTGGCTATACATGTTTTTATCATCTATTGTTAAGGAGATGATAATGAGGCATTAAAAGTAGATCATCGTACATATGCAATCAATATCAATGTCGCATGAATGACGAATAATTGTGTTGCAGTTCCTCTCAAGGAATTTTTACGTAGGTTGTCTCATAATGTGGCGTTTGGTATTGCTGGCGATTTGATTCACGTAAAAATTGTGGATAATTCTCTTCACGTAGCTTCAATAAACGATATAGTGATGTAACAATGATTAAACAATAAACGTTGATAGCTAGATTTATTGCCGGTTATTTTGAAAATGGAACAAAAAAATTGGAATGAGTCAGAATTTTTGTATCCAAAACTTTTTGTCTAACTTACCAAAAACAACGATTGTTACAATGCCATTTCTTAAGGCATCATTCTCAGTCTTCATGAAAAACCACGATCCGAGTCCTAAATACAAAATTATGTATAGAGAAGTAAGCACAAGATATGGTAGTAAGCAGTTCTTTTTCTTCTGGAGTGTTCCTACTATTAATGATATGCATGATGCAAGATTCAGAAAATTAACTGTAGCAAAGGCAGTCAGGAATATTAATCCAGCTAGATAAGGCAATAAAAAAATAAAAATTTAGCAATTTGTCAAAAAATCAATTGAAGCGATGGATTGTTGACTGTAGCAAGTCAACAATTAGAATGGAATCATTCCATCACCCCAGAAGCCACAATATCTCACCTGTTTTATAGTAGAGAAATGCTTCCTCCGACTTTGGCGTGTATGTTGTCGTGATGTATTGATCAAGGTTGTAAATCGAGACAATAGCTGTCAGGACAGCAATCTATAGAAGGAAAATCGACAAATATAAATAATAGAAAAATGAGATAAAAGATAATTTTTATAGTCACACGCTTGTAGCCATTTAAAGTATTATTTTCAAACATAATCATGAATTTATTATCTTGGGTTATCGGGTCAGCGTGACAGCTATAGAGATTAATTTAATATTCAATCATCGATAAGCAAGTCGTAAAATTTAGAGATTTAGATACGGTATTATCGGTTCCGATGTGAGAAAATATTTTGTCTTGTAAATTGAGTGAAATTTAAATGCATGCGATAATCTTTATCAGTTTTACGTCCAATAGGAAAATATTGATTTTGGATCTTTATCCTTTGATCTTTAAAATTCAGATTCAAACTTAATATCAAGATTTAAAAATAAGTTCTCAGGATTTAAAAATTAACTCTTAGGATTAAAAATGAATCGGAAGATTAAATTTAAATCAACGGATTTAAAATTGAAATTGAATATTTAAGATTTCAGACATTAATCTCTTAGCCTATTAGACATTAAATTCTAAAAATTTCCATGGTATTCTATCAAAATCACTTCTTATCAGCATCTCAAGTCATCCATAAAAACTCATACTCACTGTTGATAAACTTAATCCTGCAAATTAAGAAATTCAAGATTCAATAAATTGCTTTTCATATTGTAGATCTTCAAGGGGCATCAGACCCCTCTTACTTACCTATATAGGCAATAACTACAACACAACGAGAGAGCATTATTTAAAAAATGAGAGACAGTCACTCGAATTCTCAATTTTGATGTTTGTTTCGCATTAATAATTTTTTTGCACTTGATTTTCCAGAAATTTATTATTCAGCAGATACTAATTTTTTGGAATTTTTAAGTAAATTTTCAAGTCACGATACACACAAAACACTAGCTAACAACTTATCACATTATTTAATAATAAAAACTTAAAGAAATTTTAAAAAATAAAGAAACTTAGAAACAAAAAAAAAACTGCAGCGAATGAGAACAAATGTGTAGGTTGAAAGAGCGATCAACTTGTACTGCGTACAGATGTTTGAAAGTAAAAGAAACTCGAAAAAAAAGTCGAGGAAAGAGAGAGAAGGAATCTTTTTTTTGTGTAGTCACTTCTGATGTTATGTCTCAATGTGATGTTGTTCAATGCTGCACGTTATCATCAGTATGAGGAAGCTTCTAATTACGGAATTTATTTACTCATCCCACAGAATATTTAAATCGAGATAAGTCTTGTCTTTCGATCGCTTCCATTCCAAAAATGTGTGAAAAGAAACGAACGAAAAAAACTGGAATTGGATTTTAAACATTTCGAAGAAAGTGAAAAGAAAAACAAAAGGTAAGTTTAAAATTCATCAGCAAGTGTTTAAGGCGCATTTTATACAAGAGGTTAAGACCATTTATCTTACTCTCCCTCCTACATATAATTCAGATTTGTAGTCATTGAATCTTTCATTAAACTTTAATCCAGAACTTACATTAATCATACCGACAAACTTCTAACATGATCTCATATTCTCATAAGCAAATAACCTTAAAACAGAAAAGTGAGAGCAGCATGAATATTATTAAAATACTTTATTTATTTTGACGCAACGTTGTTTTGATTTTAGGAACAAACGCGGCATGGATGAATGAGAGCTATTCGCTCTTTGCTCACTCACCATGTGAGTCGCGTGCTTATATGATTCACTTTGAGAATTAATACTTACAGTAAAGGTAAAGTGCTGCCAAATATCCGTTACTTGAATACACAATTCAATATGCTTACTTATTCGTTTTTTGATCTTTTGTTATTGCTATTGTCTGGTGCTTACGTGTTTGCACAATTTACTTATTAAAATATCAATTTATAATTTTATTTACTTATCTCATCTCATTCCATCGTGCTTTATGTAAAAGATAATAAATACTGATTTTACGGATGAGATCTTCACTTAAGGGGTCAAATATTATTCAAATGTGAGCAATGAGATGTCTTTTCTCTTATCGGGTTTCACTTGATACTTAAGACATTATATTTATTTTCAAGACTGTCTTATTTATATTATGCATATTAATGACTTTGCATGTTTGCAGATAAGCATGCGGTGTTGAGATTAAAATGAATATAAATACAAATGAAATCTTATCAAAGTTGGAACTGAGATTCTATACTTATTTACTTACTTCCTTCGCTAAGGCGCACGTGGTCCCATTGTCGTATTCAGAGTTCGTCTAAAACTGGCTCTATCCTTAGACAACTTCTGCCAGTTTCTAATTAGTAGCACATTTGCATCGTTGCTTCCACAGCCATTTCATGAGTTCTTCAGTCTACCTCGAGATCTCTTACAATCCAAAAATTCAGTTGTTGTTTCTTTCAGCACTGATGAGCCAAGAGGCGTCTCAATCGATTTATTCGCATCACCTTCACTTTATCACCCTCCTAGTTCAGCTTATATAATTCATCATTATGCCGACTTCTGTATTCTTCCCAAAGACACCAAGTATTTCTCAAAGACACCAAGAGCTTCTTCGTCTGTAACCTTTGTATTCCAGGTCTCAGACCCATATGCTAGTAACTGCGATGAATTGGAGAATATTGTGCTATCAAGTTGTAGCTTATTCTTCTTACACAGTCCTTCTAATGCGATGTTGAATAGTTTCGTCGACAAGTCATCACCCTACTGAAGGCCCGTCACTGTCTCAAAATGATCCGATAAGGGACCCTGCACCTTAACACAAAAAATTTGCTTAAAGTTGCTCTTAACAAGCAAAGCATTTTATGTGCATACCAAATTCAGACATATGGCTCCACATTTGTTCCCGGCTTATAAGTTTGTCAGGCATATACATTTTTAGATTCAAACTAGTGTATCGGGTAGAAACCCAATGCGGATATATTCACACCGTACCATCAAAAGTCTTATGGATAGACCAAGATTTGCTCAGCATAAGTTTGAAGGGTGGGCGTGAAGTACGGTCGAGACCCATATCGACACAGTTCAAAAGATAAACCTAATTTATGTCATAATTATGTCAGCTACAAAAACACTTAGTTTGAATTTTGTCACCCTCGGGAACACTATGATCCAGTATAGCTGATTTTGGTCCAAATCTCGGCCATACTTCACACTTATTTGAACCACATTTTCTCGTAAATGTTAAAATATTATTAAAAAGTAATTAATTCTGAATTATGTCGCTATTTTGTCAAGTGTTTTAAGATAAAGAATTTGTTTTTTGGTTTCCACAGTGAAGAGCATGAACAAAATTCAGATTGGGTAGTCGAAATTTTAGATTTCGGTTTTTTTAAGCTATGCATTACAAAAAGTAATATTGGTATGTGATTTATGTCAGAAATATGTCAATTCAAATTAAACATACAAAAAATTTTTTTGACAAAAGTACACCATAGAAAACCACCCTAGTCAAAATCAATTTTGTTACTTTTTTCGTCGAGGGTTTTTCCAAATGGATTGAAACTTTGCATAAATATTCAAGTGCTTAAAACAAATACAAATAAAACATCCCAAAATTTTTTTTGAGCAAAGAACCAAGTAGGAAATACATTTTCAATTTTGGACTAGAGGCGACCCTAGTCAAAATCAATTTTGTCACTTTTTTCTTCGACGGTTTTTCCAAATGGATTGAAACTTTTTATAAATATTCTAGTGCTTAAAACATATACAAATAAAACATCCTAAAATTTTTTTGAGCAAAGAACCAAGTAGGAAATACATTTTCAATTTTTTACTAGGGGCGACCCTAGTCAAAATCAATTTTGTCACTTTTTTCTTCGAGAGTTTATCCAAATGGATTGAAACTTTGCATTAATATTCTAGTGCTTAAAACAAATACAAATAAAACATCCTAAAGTTTTTTTGAGCAAAGAACCAAGAAGGAAATACATTTTCAATTTTGGACTAGGGGCGACCCTAGTCATAGTCAATTTTGTCACTTTTTTCTTCGAGGGTTTATCCAAATGGATTGAAACTTTGCATTAATATTCTAGTGCTTAAAACAAATACAAATAAAACATCCTAAAGTTTTTTTGAGCAAAGAACCAAGAAGGAAATACATTTTCAATTTTGGACTAGGGGCGACCCTAGTCATAATCAATTTTGTCACTTTTTTCTTCGAGGGTTTATACAAATGGATTGAAACTTTGCGTAAATATTTTAGTGTTTAAAACAAATACAAATAAAAGATTCTAAAATTTTTTTGAGCAAAGAACCAAGTAGGAAATACATTTTCAATTTTGTACTAGGGGCGACCCTAGTCATAATCAATTTTGTCACTTTTTTCTTCGAGGGTTTATACAAATGGATTGAAACTTTGCATTAATATTCTAGTGCTTAAAACAAATACAAACAAAACATCCTATAGTTTTTTTGAGCAAAGAACCAAGAAGGAAATACATTTTCAATTTTGGACTAGGGGCGACCCTAGTCATAATCAATTTTGTCACTTTTTTCTTCGAGGGTTTATACAAATGGATTGAAACTTTGCATTAATATTCTAGTGCTTAAAACAAATACAAATAAAACATCCTATAGTTTTTTTGAGCAAAGAACCAAGTAGGAAATACATTTTCAATTTTGGACTAGGGGCGACCCTAGTCATAATCAATTTTGTCACTTTTTTCTTCGAGGGTTTATCCAAATGGATTGAAACTTTGCATAAATATTTTAGTGCTTAAAATAAATACAAATAAAACATCCTAAAATTTTTTGAGCAAAGAACCAAGAAGGAAATACATTTTCAATTTTGGATTAGGGGCGACCCTAGTCAAAAACAATTTTGTCACTTTTGTCTTCGAGGGTTTATCCAAATGGAATGAAACTTTGCATAAATATTTTAGTGCTTAAAACAAATACAAATAAAAAATTCTAAAATTTTTTTGAGCAAAGAACCAAGTAGGAAATACATTTTCAATTTTTTACAAGGGGCAACCCTAGTCAAAATCAATTTTGTCACTTTTTTCTTTGAGGGTTTATACAAATGGATTGAAACTTTGCGTAAATATTTTAGTGTTTAAAACAAATACAAATAAAAGATTCTAAAATTTTTTTGAGCAAAGAACCAAGTAGGAAATACATTTTCAATTTTGGACTAGGGGCGACCCTAGTCATAATCAATTTTGTCACTTTTTTCTTCGAGGGTTTATCCAAATGGATTGAAACTTTGCATAAATATTTTAATGCTTAAAAAAAATACAAATAAAACATCCTAAAATTTTTTGAGCAAAGAACCAAGAAGGAAATACATTTTCAATTTTGGATTAGGGGCGACCCTAGTCAAAAACAATTTTGTCACTTTTGTCTTCGAGGGTTTATCCAAATGGAATGAAACTTTGCATAAATATTTTAATGCTTAAAAAAAATACAAATAAAACATCCTAAAATTTTTTGAGCAAAGAACCAAGAAGGAAATACATTTTCAATTTTGGATTAGGGGCGACCCTAGTCAAAAACAATTTTGTCACTTTTGTCTTCGAGGGTTTATCCAAATGGAATGAAACTTTGCATAAATATTTTAATGCTTAAAAAAAATACAAATAAAACATCCTAAAATTTTTTGAGCAAAGAACCAAGAAGGAAATACATTTTCAATTTTGGATTAGGGGCGACCCTAGTCATAATCAATTTTGTCACTTTTTTCTTCGAGGGTTTATCCAAATGGATTGAAACTTTGCATAAATATTTTAATGCTTAAAAAAAATACAAATAAAACATCCTAAAATTTTTTGAGCAAAGAACCAAGAAGGAAATACATTTTCAATTTTGGATTAGGGGCGACCCTAGTCAAAAACAATTTTGTCACTTTTTTCTTCGAGGGTTTATCCAAATGGATTGAAACTTTGCATAAATATTCTAATGCTTAAAACAAATACAAATAAAACATCCTAAATTTTTTAGAGCAAAGAACCAAGGAGGAAATACATTTTCAATTTTGTACTAGGGGCGACCCTAGTCATAATCAATTTTGTCACTTTTTTCTTCGAGGGTTTATACAAATGGATTGAAACTTTGCATTAATATTCTAGTGCTTA